TACCTTTGGCAGGAATTATCTATACCTTCCAAATTTATAAATATAAAAGATGAATTCAAAAACAGATTTACCAAAGGATAAATCAACAAACTAGCAGAATATTTAAAATTAATCCTAATAGATACAAGTGTTTTAAAAAGTTAATTCATTTGATGTGCAGAATGTGAGATCCAGGTAAAGAGTTAAATTACTTTTATCTTTTGCAATTTTGTTAAAGGCCCCAGTTAGGTCTCACCAGTTCTTAACCTGAGGACCTATAAACCATTTTGGCTTCTGTGAAAGAAACCTCAAGTCTGAACCTATGTTTCAGACGCAGGTAATGGAGAGATGCAGCAACCTAGCATATGATAGTGAGCACTAAACCTTCAATCAGCCCCACTGCTTGTATTCAAAAGGTCGAAGCTTCTCTAAAAGGTTTGACTCAAATACACTGGAAGTTAGTTACAATTTCACTTCCATGTTAGAACGACAAATACGGCCTTGTTAATGATCCAGCAGAAGGTTTTGCTAGATTTGATAATAACCCTTCATGTCCTATCCATTTGCCATTCAAACTTCTCTGTTTTCACCAGATGCCCTTTTCTTTAATATGCCATTAATAGGAAAATAGAATTACATGAGTAGAATCACTTGCCATTTTAGAGTAGAAGGCCCTGACCACAGTGAAAACCAGAATGTACTACTGAAAGTGAGATAAATGGCTCCCCACTCCTTCACATCTAACACCACAGTAACCTATCTTTCAATAAAATTTATTCTAATACATGTATCATATGTTAAAATTCAATAGGCAAAGAAGCATGAAAAGTATTCCCACTCCTGTCTGCCAGACACCACTTCCACCCTATTCTAAGCAACCACTGGTTTCTTGTGGGACCTTCCCTGTGGTACATCTTACTTTAAACCTTATCCCATCTTCTAAATTTAAGCGCTCCCTAGCCCACCTGTTGCTTTATTTTTCTCACTAGCATTGATTACCAATAGGCTTACCAATATATTTTCATTACACTTATTATACATTATTTTATTATTTACACTTAGATCAATTATTTTATTCTTGTCCCACCCCATCTGCAATTAGAATAAAAGCTCCATGAAGAATTCTGTTCACTGCTGTTTATTTCCAGAGCATGAAACACTATCTGGAACATAATGGACCCTAGACAAGTATTTGCTGAATGAGTTAATAACCCCATTTTCACAAACACTGGTAGCAAATCAGTCATCTATACTTTACAAAACACTAGTGCTGGGCTGGACTTGGTGGCTCACACCTATAATCCTAGCACTTTGGTAGGCTGAAGGGAAGGTAAGAAATCACTTGAAGCTAGGAGTACAAGATCAGCCTGAGCAGGAGTGAGATGCCATATTTACAAAACCTGGAAACCTTAGCCAGGCACTATGGTCTCGGCCTGTAGTCCCAGCTACTCAAGAGGCTGAGGCAGGAGGATCACTTAAGTCCAAGAGCGTGATGTTGCAGTGAGCTATGATGACAACATTACATTCCAGCCTGGGTGACAGAGTGACCTCAAACAACAATAATAATAATAATAAATTAAAAACCACAACTACTGCTTTTCAAAAAATGGGGCAGGGCACATTGTGGGAAAACTACAGAACTAATGTACTCTACTTAAGGAATTAAATTAGTTTAAAAGTAATGAAAATTGGCTGGGCACCCGCAGCACAGTGGTTACAGTGCCAGGCACATATACCAAGGCTGGCAGGTTCGAACCTAGCCCAGGCCACCTAAAAACACCAATGATAACTACAAACAAAAAATAGGTGGGCATTGTGGTGGGCACCTGTAGTCTCAGCTACTTGGGAGGCTGAGGCAAGAGAATCACTCAAGCCCAAGAGTTTGAGGCTGCTGTGAGCTGTGATACCACAGCACTCTACCAAGGGCAACACAGTGAGACTCTGTGTCAAAAAAAACCAAAGTAGGCTCGGCACCTATAGCTCAACCGGCTAAGGCGCCAGCCACGTACACCTAAGGTGGCGGGTTCGAATCCCCAGCCCGGACCCGCCAAACAACAATGAC